TAACAGTGATGATATCAATTCATTACAAGGCGACAACCATTTCCAGTCCTGTGGCCCTGGTTGGGTCTTGGCTCCAGCTTCCTGCTCTCCACTCTTGACTTTCTGTACTGCGCTGGATTTGGAGAAGTGGAGAGAGATGGGGAAGGGAGGGCAGGAAAAGGGACTCAGGGGATAGAGGTGGACAAGGAGAGGGACCATTCTTGTAACTCGGGAAAGGGTCCGTGTGTTTGGCACTTTGACATTTGGCAGCTGCAAGGGGGCACCGCAAAGCTGTGTCCAGAGCTCCTGTGACCCACCTGCAGCATGATGGTGAGAGGGGGAGGAGTGGAACTCGTCAGCCCCTCAGGGCTCTGATGGCACGCCAGGAGCTGCTTGTACAGTCACACTTACTCTGGACGGCGATTGCACGCTCACCTGGCCCACCTCATTGGCTACCAGGATTGAGTGAGGTCCTGTGACTAGAAAAACATTGCATATTTTTAAAAAATTAGCCCCAGAAATATCAGGAAGAGTAGCAAGTCAGAAAGAGTGGAATGTAAGGAAGAACTTTCCCCCTGGGGTCCTGTTCCCTCCTACACAGGCTGACACTGTGTTTGTTGAAGGTAAAGAGCTTCAGCGCCCCTCTGCCTGCTGTGTAGGTGCCAGCGAGCATACAGGGCTCCCAGGAAGAGCGGTGGTGTTAGCCCACATGGTCTGGGTTCACTTTGTCCAGCAGATGCCTCCTGACTTTCCCCACTGCCGTGGATGTCATCATGAAGCCACCGAAGTAGGTTGGGATCTCCCACTGGGGCTGGCCCTTGATTGCAGTGGAACAAATTTCTCTGTTTCCCTCACCAGCTTTTGAGAGTGGAAGGTGAGGAGTCTGGGGAAGCCCAGCAGGGAGTCTGAAGGGAGCCTCAGAAGACAGGTAGCTGAGGTCAAGGCAGTGGAGGGCATGGCCAGGTATGAGGATACAGGAGGAGCTGTCCCAGGCATCCCTCAGAGATGCTTCTGCAGCACCCATGTTGCACACCTGGTCCTGGTGTTAATTTAAAAAATTAACACATATGAATTATACATATTAATAGGGTTCAATGTGATATCTCCATTCATGCACACAGTGTGCGCTGGTTAAATAGATTCTTCCTTTTCCACTGCCTGACTGAGATTATGGGGGTGACAAGTGTCCCACACCTTCTTAATTCCTAGTAATCACGATTCTAGTTTCAGATGGACTTTCTCTTTTAGTTTCCACATATGAGAGAGAGAGAGAGAGAGGGAGAGAGAGCATGTGGTACTTGTCTTTTTGTGTCTGGCTTTTGTGGCTTAACATTAGTGTCTTCCAGTTTTATCCAGTTTTCTGCAGATGTCAGGAATTTTATTCTTTTTGGCCAAATAATATTCCTTTGTGTACATATACACCACATTTTCTTCATCGATCCATCTCCTGATGGGGTGGCAGACTCCACGGCTCAGCTATTGTGCATGCTGCCTCTGTAAATTCAAGGTCCCCGTCTGTCTGAGGGCTGAATGTTTGATGGCAGGCGTGGCAGTGGTGGGTGCAGGAGGGAGGAGGCACAGGTGCATGCAGGACCCTGAATCCTGATCTAGCTTTTAAAAGTGCAACTTTTAAGTGAAGTTAGGGTGAGTTTTTCTTAGAGCTCTTCCCCCTGTCCCTCCCAAAACACTGATATAAATCAGTGCAACCAACAGAATATTGATTGATGAAGTGGCAGAAAGATCCAGAAGGGAAGGAGATGTCCATGTTTACTCTTCCCCCGTTTTCAGATTTCTGCTCCAACACCACCTTCCCAGAGAGGCTGCACTCTGCATCTCAATCCAAGAAATCCACAATGTCTGCATTTAATCACGGTCTTGCTTGTGTGAAACGCTACTGTCTCCTGGCAAAATGCTACTGTGTGAAGATGGCTATAGATTATAAATATGACCTATTTTTCTTCTCCATGGTATCATTACCTGAACATCTTACTTTTTTAGTTCATTGTTGTCTAGCTTATTAGGTTTGGTTGGTTTATTGTGGCCTCTCTCTCTCTCTAAGGAAAAATTCATGACGATATAGGACTTGGCTCTTTTGTATCGCTAGGACCTGGAACAGCTCTGACAGTCAGTTGATGCTTAATTAAAAATTTACTAACTGCATGAGAGCAGGCAGGCTGTCTTCTGAAAGTGTCACAACAGTGAAAAGAGTCTGTGAGCTTCCAGCATTACTCTGTAATAACACAGGGGGGCTTTGGGGTCCTGCGCATCCCAAAGCTTTCTAAAGTGGGTTTTCTCAGCCTTGGCACTGTTCATATTTAGCCTGGCCGTGCTTTGCTGCAGGTCTGTCCAATGCATTGTAGGGTGCTGAGGAGCATCCTTCATCTGTATCCCGAGAGACACCAGCAGGACTGCCCACACCTGTCATGACATCTAAAAATGCCCAATGCCACATGTCTAGGGGAGGGGTGCAGAATACCCAGTTGATTGAAAACCACTCTTCTAAATTAAAACCAGGATCCGTGCAAGCTACATCTTACAGAATAGGTCCCAATTGAATATGCAGTTGCAGCTTGATACCTATGAACGCTGTGCATTTCTCCTGTAATGAAGCGGCTCCCTTTCTATATCTTTCCCCCTGTTATGCATCAATCACATTATAAGAGGAAGGAAGACAAAGGAAGGAAAGGCAGCAGACACACATTCATAGTGAGATGCGTCTTTTATGGTGCAGCAACTCCTCAGATGTCAGCAGGACCCATAGAATTAGAAATAATTAAAAGACATAAACAAGAAGCCCAGGCTCTGTGGGCCGTGGCACATCACAGAGACACCAGCTGTCACTCAGGGGTGGCTGGGGGCGGATTCTGCAGGGGGAGACTGGCTTGCTCAAAGCCCTTCTGGGCCCAGGCTTCTGTCCATCTGTGGTGCTGGCCTTGACCATGATGCAGCATGGTGGCTGCCCCCTGTGTGACAGGAGAATGAGCCCCAGGCTTCTGCAGAGGACCTGAGGGCAGGGTGGGTGCCCTCAAACAGGGTGGGGGCTGCTTTCTTCCTTTTTAATGAGGGTGAAATGAAGTATTGCCATCCTTATCAAAGTGCACTGTGGAGGACATGCAAATAAAGGGCTGGGACAATATCAGTGCTATAGACCAGCAAGAAGACACAAGGAAGGGCTCATGTCTTCACTGTGAGCATTCACAGTAATACCGCAGTTCACGAATGATTTGTTTACAAACAATATGGTTTGAAAACAAAAGCAATTGGCGAAATTTTGCTTCTGTTCGCAAACTCTGCATCAGGTGAGTGAAACACGACCATGGCCATCTTCCCTACACAAACACAAATGCAGCAGTTTTCCCCCAATCGTAAAACAAATTAAGTTTGTAAACCAAGGTACCACTGTAGTTGGAAAGAAATAATAAAATAAGGCCTCTGTTTCTTTCTTATCCTTGGTTATCATGCCATAAGAAAGCAAGAAGGGGTATGTGTATAGTGTGTGTGGTGTGTATGTGTGGTAAGCGTGTATATGTGGTTGTGTGCTGTGCATTAATACTGCATATGTGTATGGTATGCATATGTATCGTGTATATAGTGTGTGGTGTGTATATGTATATTTGTGTGCGTGTGTGTGTGTGTGTAAGACACAGTCTGACGTACTTGTTCTGAAATTCCTTCCTGAAAGAAATGCACGAAAGCAGTTTTTGTATTTTCTTATAGATGGCTGCATTTCTGTGATTTGATTATAAGCCTTCTCTCTCATATTAGTGTCACATATTTCAAATGAGAACTTCTATTTGTTTGGAACTATACAGTCTGTGTTTGTAGCATCTGCTGAAATCCTGACCTCTAAGGTGGCTTTAGGACATGGGACCTTTGGAGGTGGTTATGTCATGAGGGTACAGTCCTTACTGAGTGAAGTCGGTGCCCTAACAGAAGACACCTGAGACCCTTTGCCCCCTTCACCATGTAAGGACACAGACAGAGGCGCTATCTAGGGAAAAGAAAGTAGCCCTTGCCAAACATGAGATCTGCTGTTTCTTCAGCTTCAGTTTCTGTTGTTGAGAAGCCACTTAGTTTATGGTATTTTCTTCTACCACCCTGGGTAGACCATGACACCTGGTTTTTAAGAAGCATCTGCTGTCATTTGCCCATTGAGATGATGCAAACCATCTGCTCTTGGTTTTGAGGTCATTGGAGGACCGTGGAGGTGCTTGTGTAGTTGGTGGAGCCCCTGCCTCCCTTGCTCACATTGATATCCTGTGGGCTCTTAGTGGTCCGTGGGGCAGGGCTGGCTTCCAGTGTCTTTGGGAGAGAAGCTCACGGCCCATTGTGGCTGACTGGAATGGAGCTCCTAAGAGCTGGGACTTGATCTTGTTCTTTGAGTATCCACAAAGTCAGTGGTCAATAAATATTTATTAAATAAATACTGTGGATAAATGTTTTGCTTAGGTAATGTGAGTCAGTGGAATTAACTAGTTATGACAACCTGGAAGGGTGACCTCGTTGAAAGGTGATGTGGTGTGTGTGTGTGTGTGTGTATTGTTTGCAACTCTCACTGTTTGAGTCTCCTTCTTTGATCTCATGAGGAGCATGAAGATGGCAGCTTCCTGAACATGTTGACCTTGCATCCTGCCCTTAGGCTGCCATCCACATGACCCAGCCACATGGGCATCTTTGAAAGATCAGGACCTAAGTCCATTGTGCCAGTTACCCAGCAGTGATGAGTGTGTAGAGGGATTTGGTGTGCAGAACCCAATCTTCTCTAGGATGTGTTTTTTGCCATTTTTAGGATTAGCACCAACTCCTCAGATCTTGCTTTTGGGAGCCCTGAAAATCCTCTACCCCTAAGGCTTGTCATCTTCCTAATTCTCCTGGCCTGAAAGCCGGGTCGGCCCAGGGCCCAGCCCAGCCTTGGTGTTCTTGGCAGACATAGGCCAGTAGCCTCGGGCACCTGTGGGCCAGAGGGATCGGGGCTGAGTGGAGTGGAGGTGCTTCAGTGACACTACTGCTTCTTGTTTCAGGGTGCAGCAGAAGACCCCCAGATGGCCCTGGCACTGAACCTAGACTCCACGTTGATGAAGAAGAAGTCAGATCCTGAGGGCCCAACGCTGCTGTTCCCTGAGAGTGAGCTCTCCATCCGGATAGGTAGCGCTGGGCAGCTTTCAGGCAAGCTCCCTGCCACAGATGCTGGGCTGAGCCAGACAGTACACGCTTGGGGCTGACGGGAGAAGGATGGGAGAGATGGCAGGTGCTCTGTCTGCCCCTCCTACTTGCTCACCCCACTGTTGCCTAGAGCTAAACTGATGCTCTGGCTGGGTGCCTTTGTTCTCATGTGCTTTCAAAAATGCCTGTTTAGTGTGCAGGCAGTAATGACGCCTTCTGGTCCTCTTTCCAAGTTGGATAGGTGGGCAGGGTCACTTTGATGGGGATGAGGCCAATCTGGGTTAGAGAATGTGGGTATTTGTCTCTCCATCTTCTCCTCTCTGATGAGCTCTGAGTGCTCTTTTTTATTTATGTGATTCTCATCTTTTTGGCTTGTCTAGGAAACTGTGGAGGGGTCTGTCACTGATTCTGTTGGGGCTGGAAAAACTAAAGACACCAACAGCTGAGTCATGCCTTCTCTCTTGTGTTAGAGGAAATGTGTCTCTGGGGAAGGAATCAGTTAGCAGTTTCTTGGTCTCAGTGGGACAGATTCCAAGTGGGCTGCTACCCTTGGAGAAGTTGCTGATGTCATGGAATGCATTACTCCCAGGCTCAGGGGCAGACTCCTCCCCTCCTTGCCCCAAGGCACTGTCTCTGAGGACATTTTGGTAGTATCGGGAGAGTCACCTGTTTGCCTTTTCCTTGAATGTATGTAGGAAGTCCTAGTTTGATGTCCCCTTCTGTAGAGGAAGCCTTTAGGTATAGAAACCATGCAGACGATGGTGCTAGCGGGCTCCTCCCTGCTTACTCGGTGTTCTCTTTGAGAGAACAAGTTGGTGACTGGTCACCATCTTCACAGGAGCGATCGAAGGGGACACTGTGCCCTTTTCTGTTCCCCTGTTGGCATTTTAATTTGGGATATTTGCTGTCTGTAGGGTGAGCCCATTTCCGGTCCTTGGAAAGAGTAACAGCCAAGCCACAGCCCGAATCAGTGATCTGTGTTCAGATTCAGTGCCCTGTGCATACTACTCACGGAGAACATGAATGTCTTCTCCATGCCCATGAATCCTCACTGCCCACCATGATTTCCCATGTGGGCTGTAGCCAGGAAAAAAAAAATGCTACATACTGGCATTAAATCCACATACTGCCCCCTGTCTCCAGTCACACGTCTTGTTTCTATTCAAATCAGAACAGCTGAGCTGGTGCCTACTGCACTGCCTTCCTCAGAGTGTTGTCAAGGACTGTTTCTGGGGGTGCAGGGGGTGGGCACCATATACCCACAGATCTTGCCATTTTCTGTGCTGAGTCCGGGACATACAGACCTTTCAGTGGATTCCACTAGCAATACTGTGTTTGGTCTCATGTGCCCTTCTGAAGACTTTGCAATTTTGATTCTGAGACTTATACAGGATGACAAAGTTGGCCAGACTTTATTCTGTCCAGTTGTTTACCTTTAAAGCCACCCAAGTGGAGAGGGGGAAGAGATTCAGTGCCTGTCAATCAAAAGAGGTAGAAAGGGGTCATCCTTTCAATGGGCCTTTTTTTTGGGAACTGGGGATCGGACTCAGGACCTTGCTCTTGTGAGGCAGGCACAGTGCCCCTGAGCTACATCCCCGGCCCATAATGGGCCTTTTTCAATGGCAAGGGTAGGGCCAGGAGCTGGCTCTGCAGGAGGGCCTGGGGATTGCTGGGTCTTTTTGGCCCATGTGGGGTTAAGTGGTGGGGGGAGAGCATGGGAGGGAGCTTCAGTCCCGGCCCTCCTGTATGCCAGGTGCACCCATTTACCAGGTTACTAAGCAACCCTCTTAGCTGTTGCTAACTGCTCAGATACAGAGGCAAACTTGGCTCCTGGGGAGCAAGAAGATGGCTCGCCGAGCCCAGGAGTGCCCAGCCATCTCATCTCACCTGGACACACCTGTGGGTGTCAGGCATCTGAGGACTCTCAAACCGATAATGGATATTTGATGACTGGCCTCATGCAGATCCAGCCCGAATATGCATTATTTGTGCCATCTGGATTTACCCTTAAGCTTGCTGTAACTGGAGCAAGGAGACTGGTTTAATAGGTATTTAGTGAGAAACATCAGCCTTTAAAAAATAATATTGGTATGGCTGTTATCATGCCCCATAATTGGTTCAGCAAGAGGAAAAGGCAGAAAAGCCACACGACGGGAGGGAAGTACAGCTGCCCTGAGTGGTAGCAGCAGATGAGCTGGGAAAAGCGTTTATGAGATTCTTTGCTATTTATGTCTCGTGCCAAATGTTTTACGGTATCAGCTATTTTCAAGGCTGGGGATATTTGGGGATTTAGCTCGGTCAGAAGTTCTTTTAGAACTACCATTCTCTCTTTCTGTCCCTCTCATTCCTCCCCATCCATACCAACCAGCTTTCTTTTAATTCAAACATAATAATGATTAAGAATAGAAAGTACTGTTTCTTCCAACTTTAAATCCTTTATGGTTTAGTCCCATATTGGCCATAAACATTATGCCAAGTTTCTTATGTTTCCTTTTAGAAATATGATGTTTATGTAGCCATGCTGGATTCATTGTTTTATACCTTGCAGTTTTGCACTTAAAAATACATTTTTCATGTTTGTATGGGACACTCTCAGATCATCCACCTCATTCTTTTTGTGTGTGTGCGCGCGCGCGCGCGTGTGTGTGTGTGTGTGTGTGGTACTGGAGATTGAACTCAGAATCCAGGGCTTTTGTGCTGAGCTTTATCCCCAGGCCTTTCTAAAATTTTTAAGGTTTGAAACAGGGTCTCATTAAGTCACTGAGTTGCCCAAACTGGCCTCAAACTTGTGATCCTCCTGCCTCAGCTTCCCAGAGTGCTGGGATTGCAAGTCAGCTGGGATTACACTGCCATGCTCAGCTCATCCTGTTACTACTGGCCATGCTGTTACATCGTTGATAGTCCTGTAGACTAATTCCACTCTTTTGCTATCATACAGGATGCGGCAGAGCGTTTTAATATGTACATTTCTGTGGAAAATTACCTTGTCCAGTACATTCTGGAAATTAGGCCAGGGGTTGTCTACATCTTGGATCTATGTGTGTGGCTATGTCTGTTTTGGGAAGGCAAAGAGCTGCACGCTCCAGATGGCTGCATGACTCCAGTCTGCTCTAAGTCTTGGGCTTCTCTGCCTCACTAGCCCCCATTCAGCCAAGCAGGACATTTTCTCCCTCACTGGAGCCCTCTTCAGGCTAAACAGAAGGTTGCTTTGCTCCCTCCTTTCTGAACTGGGGCCTGTAACCCGGATTTCTTCAGTGAAAGGATGGGAATGAAGCAGAGTAGGTATTGAAATGTGCCATGGCAAATTTTGTGCATGAAGGACAAAGGGCTCAATAATAATATTAATAATTGCCAGGAGCTCTTTAGCATTATGGATGTTAAAGTGAGGAGCTAATGTACACTGCACAGGGCTTGGTCCAGACAGCGTGAGACTGTCTGCCCTGGCTCAGGGGGCTGATGCCAGGCAGATATATTTGATAGATTTTTGGCTTTTGGAGAGTGTTATATTTGTCTTAGCATTCAAATAGCAATTTCCCCATTCCCTTCTCTTTTTTCTTTTCTTAAAAAAAAAGTCATCCCGATTTTCTGAGCTAGGCAGTCATTTCAGAGTGTGTTTTTATGTGGCTCCGGCTAGAGGCAATTTGGCATATGTAGCATGCATTTGCTCAGGCTGCCATAACAAAAACCCACACACTGGGTGGCCTAAGCAGCAGAAATTTGTTTTCTCACAACTCTGGAGGCTGGGAGTCTGAGATCAAGTTGTCGGCAAGGTTGTTTTTCTGATGTCTCTCTCGTTGGTCAGCAGATGCCGTCTTCTCCCTGTGTCTTCATGTGATCGTCCCTCTAGATGTCTGTGTCCCAGTCTCCTTTTTTTTATAAGGACACCAGCCATATGGGATTAGAATTTCACTTTAACTGAATTACCAGGATTCTGTCTTCAAAGACGCTTGCTTTCTGCAACACTGGGCATTAGGACCTCAACATGTAAACTCAGGTAGTGGGAAGGGAGTCTCAATTCGGCCCATAAAAGCGCTGTATCATCGCTTTTTGTTGTTGTTGTTGTTGTTTTTTTCCTTAAATTCCTTTATTGGTACATTTTTTTTTTTGGTACCAGGGGTCGAACTTGGGTCCTTGTGCTTGCGTAGCAGGCATTGAAACCACTAAGCTAAATCCCCGGCCCCCTTTATTGGTACATTTTAGGTATACAGTACATTTACCTTTGTCATTACCTTTACATGGTGTATCTTGGTTCTTATTTTTTCCCCATTCCCTGCCCTCCCTTCACCCCCTCCACCCTTCCCAATTCACAAAGACTTTGTTTCCAATTTTTCCATTTCTCATAATTTTTCCTTTCCCTTCTTTCCTTTCCCCTACCCCTCCCATTTCCCCTACCCCTTTGGACCTTTTCTTCCTATTTTGCATTATCAATTATTCATTTTAATCATTGGTACATT